TGATGGGGCCACTAGGGCTGACACCATACAGCGACACGAGAGGCCAACGGGAGCGCCGGTTCGTACAGCTCAGACTCTCCGTCTTTTACACACAGATGACGTCTTAATTGGGTTATTTCCTTGTGTTAATTTATGACATTCGACAACCAGAGTTTCTTGCACGTGGGGGCAGGACCCCTAAATCCTTCCACTCGAGGCCCACCACGGCCTCTTGGTTATAACTCTTCTTCCGTACACCCCCACTAATCTGGTCGAGGATGTACACCCACACTAATCTGGTCGAGGATGTACACCCACACCCACTTTCCCGGTGCTATATAGTCAATGGCTTGGCGCTTTCCCTTAGGGGCTCACCATAGCCCGTGCTACATGGACATTTCGTTATGAGTAGCTAAATCTAAAACAACAACGGCGCTTTCCCCTGATAATTCCGTCTCACTCCCTCTAGTAGGTCATTCACATAAATTAGGAACAACAGCGGACCCAGGAACGAGCCTTGTGGGACATCCATCGATACCTTTTCCTAGTTCCCAGTGTTTTCCTAGTTACCCAAGCTTGTTTCTCCATCTTGGACAGCAGTCTTTGAGGAGTAACAGTGTCAAATGCTACTTGACAGTCCAGAAAGATTACAGCCCACCCAGCTATCTTTTGTCGTATTTTTGCAACTTTGTCATTGAACTCTAATCATATTTAAACAAAACTTTCCCATTCTGTCTTGGAAATATAAAATGTTTAGTTAGTGTGGTGATAAGTACATGTGCAGGTTCCTTCAGGAGCCACAGGAATATTAAGGCTGGTTGTATGATCGTGGTTGCACCTTGATCCTCCAGGCTCTGTTTTGCCTCGTTTACAGTGGTTGGATCTTGATCCTCCAGGCTCTGTTTTGCCTCGTTTACAGTGGTTGGACCTGTGAACCTGTGTTTCTTCTGGGCACCTTTCATCCCCCCGCTCTGGGCCTCCAAAACTGGTTCTTTTGTGAAGACCTGGTAGTGGGGTGTGGTGGTAGTGGTGATGGTGGTGGTGAATGATAAACAAAACGAGGGTGTGGTGGGTGTAGGAGCCTGAGGTGTGAGGCATCGTGCCTACCGTCAATTAACCCCCACCTGTGTTAACACCGCCGCCAAAGTCTTGCACTCCCCCACTACCCACCTGCACCCCACCTACTTCCTCGCCACTGAAATTCTACTCCACTCACCTCTCATGAGCTATCATACACCGCCGCCAAAGTCTTGCACTCCCCCACTACCCACCTGCACCCCCCCCTACTTCCTCGCCACTGAAATTCTACTCCACTCACCTCTCATGAGCTATCATTTGATGGTACATTTTTCTAGGTGTATCCACTACACTTGTCCAACTCTTCCTCTGGTGGAGACCGCGTTAATGTTGTGATTAATGGAGAGATGACTTACCTATCCCGGAGGATGACGCTGCAGTCTGCTGCTGCTGTTGTGTGGGAGGCTAGGCGACTCTCCCCAACTGGCAGGTCGACGCCAGGGACACACACATACACACACGGCCTCCAGTAGTTTCAAAGCGTTATACGGCAAACAGTACTGGGAAGACGGGACACCACGAGCATAACTGTTATCCTGTAACTACACTTAGGTCGTTACCAACAGCGTAAATCCTCGCTACAAACGTCACATTATTCAGTTCATGTCCTTTCTTCACACACACTGTCCATTACATTACCATCCTCACTACTATGATGAACGCTTCTGGGTCCACGGTGTCCCATCAGAACCCGAAATTCTTAAATTTTGTGAGTCCTCCTGTGGAACCGATGTTTAGTTTCTGTAGAACCTCTGGGCTTTGGAATAAGTTTTCTGTTATGTAAACAGAACATGTTGATTGTGTATTGAGAGACTCAAAAACGTTGTAGGTCTTGTTATAGACAAATAATGATAGTTAACAGACTCAAAAAGCAGAAACTTCCTACAACCATGACCTTTCTTGGAGCAAATGGAAAACCCGTAAAAAGCTTGGATTAATTCCGCTGAACTATGTTCTAATGCATATCGAAGACATTCGTATTTATTTATGCTAATTCCATACAGCATAGACCACCGAAATATATTCCATGCTGTGCCATTACGCATACTTATAATATAACGGACGGTATAAACACACTCAGGATGATAACTCACTGATCACCAATGCTGTGAATTACCCAATTGTGCATAAATACATTAGTTAGCCACGTCCTTTGCTTGGAGCATCTGTCCCTTACAGCACTAATCTTAATCCCGCTCCAGAAGCAGTATTGTAAACCCTGGTTTACTTCCCCCCTGGTTTTATGAAGCAAGAGACCTATATGTTATTGTTTTAGATTTAGCTACTCAGAACGAAATGTCCATGTAGCACGTGCTATGGTGAGCCCATCAAGAAGAGACCTATAGGGCGAGGCCGTATATATACGTCTCGCGCCCCTGGTCACCCGGCGTTAGTGGCTGTCGAGGCCCTAGCCTAGTGGCAGGAGCTGGCCCCCGGGCGACCTGTACACACTCCACCCTGACAGCTCCACCGCCTCCTGCATACCTAAATGTACCTCTTCCACCAAACTTTCTTAGCGATTTCCCTATCTTCCTCCTCTGCCATTGGCTCTCCTCCTCCTCCCTCATGTCCCACTTCCCCTATTCCATCTGCCCCACCCTTTTCCACTCCTGGCAGTCCCACCACCCTCAGTCTACCTCCCTTTCTCAGGGTAGATATCGGATCAGTGTAGATGTCAGCCCAGTGTACTGTAGATATCGCTGATCAGCTAAATGCCGGTTCCGGGTTGATATCGGTTCAGTGTAGATATAGGCTCGGAATAGTTATCGGCTCAGTGTATAAATTGGTGAATCAGTAGGCCTACATCATGTTGTTGTTGTTTTAGATTCAGCTACTGGGAACAAAAAGTTGCAAGTAACACGAGCTATGGTGAGCCCGTAGTGTAATTATCTGGCACAGGAGCGGGGCAAGTAGCATGGGCTATGGTGAGCCCGTAGTGGACTTAGCTGGCACAGGAGCGGAGCAAGTAGCACGGTCTATGGTGAGCCCGTAGTGTACTTACCTGGCACAGGAGCGGAGCAAGTAGCACGGTCTATGGCGAGCCCGTAGTGGACTTACCTGGCACAGGAGCGGAGCAAGTAGCACGGTCTATGGTGAGCCCGTAGTGTACTTACCTGGCACAGGAGCGGAGCAAGTAGCACGGTCTATGGTGAGCCCGTAGTGTACTTACCTGGCACAGGAGCGGAGCAAGTAGCACGGTCTATGGTGAGCCCGTAGTGTACTTACCTGGCACAGTAGTGGAGCAAGTAGCACGGTCTATGGCGAGCCCGTAGTGTACTTACCTGGCACAGGAGCGGAGCAAGTAGCACGGTCTATGGCGAGCCCGTAGTGTACTTACCTGGCACAGGAGCGGGGCAAGTAGCACGGGCTATGGTGAGCCCGTAGTGTACTTACCTGGCACAGGAGCGGAGCAAGTAGCACGGTCTATGGCGAGCCCGTAGTGTACTTACCTGGCACAGGAGCTGAGCTCAAACACTGTTCCAAAGCACAGGTGGTCGTTTATAACAATAATAACGCTGGATTACGAAGTTTTGAAGTTCGTAAACTGTTTCATAATTGTAAAATATGTAAACGATAAAATCTTGCCGGAAGGACCGGACCAATTAGATTGTAGTGGATATGTGGACCCGCGGGCCGCTCCAACCAACAGCCTGTTGGACCAAGTTATCGCAAGTCGAGCCTGGCCTCAGGCCGGGCTCGGGAAGTAGAACTCCCGCGACCCTCCCCCAGGTATGCCTTGATCTTGATCAATGCAATGTCACTGTGGATGTTACAAGATGTAGCCCCAGTATACATGTGTTCGAAACACCAGCAACACGATATACTCAAGAGATGGAATTCGAACACTCTAAAGCCTGAGGAGCGAATTATCAGGGAAAAGCACCAAGCCATTACGATTACATAGCACTGGGAAGGGATCAGGATAAGGATTTGAGATAGGACAGGGAGGAAAGGAATGGTGCCACACCACTTGTGGACGGTCGGGGATTGAACGCCGACCTGCATGAAGCGAAACCGTTGCTCTACCGTCCAGCCCAAGTAGCTGTATTAAGAGGAACACCCATAGGAGTATACCTTCAATAGTATACAAGAGGTTAAATATAGTGATGCTAGGTATACATGAAGGTATTGACCCATCGTGTGGTGGGTTGTGGGTGGGTCTTGTGTTGACCTATTGGGTCACTACGTTTTGTGCTGACCTATCATAGTGGGTCACCACGTCTTGTATTGACCTATCATAGCGGGTTAACACATTTTGTATTGACGTATCATAGCGGGTCACTTTGTCTTGTGTTGACCTATCATAGTGGGTCACTACATCTTGTGTTGACCTATCATAGTGGGTCACTACATCTTGTGTTGACCTATCATAGTGGGGTCTTGTGTTGACCTATCATAGTGGGTCACATCTTGTGTTGACCTATCATAGCGGGTCACTATGTCTTGTTGACCTATCATAGTGGGTCACTACATCTTGCGTTGACCGATCATAGTGGGTCACCACGTTCTGTGCTGACCTATCATAGCGGGTCACCACGTCTTGTGTTGACCTATCATAGCGGGTCACCACGTCTTGTGTTGACCTATCATAGCGGGTCAACATGTTAAGATCACGTCAATATTTTAAGCCTTACTTACGTCATAAGATCAGGCTTCATATTCTCAAGACGTACGTCTAAACGTTTATTTCTTGGCGTCTACGAAGATGACGTCGGCGTTCAGAGAATAACTATGATGTGTTGCAAGATAAACAATAAATTCAAAACTTAAAATACCAAAAATTCCAAACCAAGAATAAATATATTCATAAGAACTAATGGTATTAGATAAAGCCTTAAGGTAACTCATAGTTCATATTAAGGCTAAAGCAGAGGTGCAATACGTACAGGAAGAGAGAGGGGGGAGGGGATGGGGACTCTCGAGACTCCCTATAGGTAACTTACTGTGAGCCGCCGGCCGGGTGGTGGACGGGTCTGGCACTTCTGAAAGGAGAAACCGTGTGGCCATTAGTACATTTCCAGGAGTATTTAAGACCTCTTTAACTCCTTATAAACACCTGCAAGCAGTCACACATCTTGTGGCAGATAATCTGGTCACAGGTATTTATATGCTAGTTATATCTTATCTCATTTAGTAAGGCTATCTCGCTTTCTTTGGCTAGTGATGCCAGTTTGATTCTCATCTAATTTCCATATTATCAGGAGAATAAATTACTCTAATGAGTTTATACATACAAATATATATATTTCAGATAGTTTACACACACACACACGCGCCTTCACACATACAATATACTCTACGAACAAAGTTCATGAAGGGTGATAATGAGTATAATAATTTAACCCAGTAAGGGACCAGATATTTTCTGGTGGCAGTGTGATCGCTTGACATCAGCGGCCAGATTCACGAAGCAGTTACGCAAGCACTTACGAACCTATCCATCTTTTCTCGATCTTTGGCGGCTTTGTTTACAATTACTAAACGTTAATAAACTCTGAAGCACCAGGAGGCTGTTCATAACAATAACAACAGTTGACTGGCAAATTTTCATGCTTGTAAACTGATTAATAAATGTAACAAAAGTCGTCAAAGATTGAGGAAAGATTACACGTTCGTAAGTGCTTCGTGAATCTAGCCCCAGTAGTGGCCGAACTAACACGCGATCATAACCTTATTACGTTCACATAATGCCATTGCTACTGCTAGTTCAACCTGCCTTTAGCCTGCACGCCCACCTCTAATGGCTTGGCTTCCATAATAGTTTGTGTAAGAGTCGGGGTTTCGACGCGGCAGGCAGTGATGGCTGAGACGGTTCGCATCCCAGGATCCAGTGTGGGGCTGGTTGTGGTGAGGGAGGAGTGATGATGTGAGCGGACCTCCACGGTCGCCACCCACACCACTCTCTCCTTCCCCACCTCACACCTGGCTCCTTCCCCACCTCACATCTGGCTCCTTCCCCACCTCACACCTGGCTCCTTCCCCACCTCACACCCGACTCCTTCCCCACCTCACACCCGACTCCTTCCCCACCTCACACCCTAAATCAATCACTCGCCTAAAACACTCATTTAGCGCAAACTATCCCACAAAAGAATGGGAAGAGTGTCCCTCTCCCTTCCCCCCTTACCCTCCCCAACAGGCAGCTAGAGGGGGGGGGGGGGAGGGGGTACTCACTGATGCAGGGAGCAATTGGGGAGCGGCTCTGCTGGTAGCCCTTGGCGCAGCGGTTGCACATGGTGCCCGTGACGCCATCCTTGCATGGGCACTGCCCCGTCGTCTGGTTGCAGGTCTTGCCCGAGGCCCCCACCGGGTGGCAGTCGCACTCTGTAGGGGGGAGAAACACAACATTGGTTAGGTGTCTGTTGAGAGGTGCAACACTGGTTAGGTGTCATTTGAGAGGAGCAACACTGGTTAGGTGTCAGTTGAGAGGTGCAACACTGGTTAGGTGTCTGTTGAGAGGAGCAACACTGGTTAGGTGTCAGTTGAGAGGTGCAACACTGGTTAGGTGTCTGTTGAGAGGTGCAACACTGGTTAGGTGTCAGTTGAGAGGAGCAACACTGGTTAGGTGTCAGTTGAGAGGAGCAACACTGGTTACTGTGTGCCCACATGAGCGTTTGGTGTCGTTACTTAATATCAATGTCCCAGGCCCACCAATGTCCCAGGCCCACCAATACCCCAGCCCCACCTATACCCCAGCCCCACCTATACCCATACCCCAGCCCCACCCATACCCCAGCCCCACCTATACCCATACCCCAACCCATACCCCAGCCCCCCATACCCAGCCCCCCAGCCCCACCAATACCCCAGCCCCACCACAACCCGTTCTCGCAAATTCGTAAAGTCAATATTGACTTATTAACTACGTGCATAGGTGATATACTTGACATAATAGATACCCTTAAAAAGATTCATAGAAAACACCAACCTTACCTAACCTTGTTAGTATCTTAAGATAAGCATCTTATTGCTTCGTAATTACAATTATTACTTAACCTATACCTATTATAGGTTAGGTAATAATTGTAATTACGAAGCAATAAGATGCTTATCTTAACATACTAAGTAGGTTAGGTAAGGTCGGTGTTTTCTATGAATCTTTTTAAGGGTATCTATTATGTTAAGTATGTCACCTATGCACATATTTAATAAGTCAATATTGACTTATTAAATTTGCGAGAACGGGTTGCCCACCAATACCCCAGCCCCACCAATGTCCCAGCCCCACCAATGTCCCAGCCCCACCAATGTCCCAGCCCCACCAATGTCCCAGCCCCACCAATGTCCCAGCCCCACCAATGTCCCAGCCCCACCAATACCCCAGCCCCACCCAAGCACCCACAGGGCGAACAATGAGTGTGGCACAATGTTCTGTCTTACCCTCCTGGTTACCATTCAAAGATTATCAATGTGGAAATGACTTGCTGGTGAAGAACAGTTTTTATACACCAAGGGCAAAACCAGCCTAATGTTAGGGTGAGGATTTTCAAACATTTGCCGTCACAACCCGTCATAGCGTCATCCATGTCTGTCTGTGTGTCCAGACAGGTGTCAGTGTCATGAGGCCACACACACACACACACACACACACACACACACACACACACACACAGGTGTCCGTGTCATATGGCTACAGTGGTATATTTATTTTCCAGGGGTAACCACAGAAATTCACCAACTCTTCTATTTGTACATTTCCCTGAACACACAGCCAACCCGAGGGTGTGTTTGTTTAGGTCTTCCCCGTGTGGACCCCGGGGTCTGTACTGTGGCTTGGTCGCTGGTGTGGCTTACCTGGTTGATGGGGTTTTGGGAGTTCTTCTACTCCCCAAGCCCGGCCCGAGGCCAGGCTTAACTTGTGAGAGTTTGGTCCACCAGGCTGTTGCTTGGAGCGGCCCGCAGGCCCACATACCCACCACAGCCCGGCACTCCTTGAAGAAAACTGTCTAGTTTACTGTTGAAGATGTCCACGGTTATTCCGGTAATATTTCTTTTGCTCGCTGGTAGGACGTTGAACAACCGCGCACCTCTGATGTTTATACAGTGTTCTCTGATTGTGCCTATGGCGCACCTGCTCTTCACTGATTCTATTCTGCATTTTCTTTCATATTGCTCACTCCAGCATGTTGTTATTTTACTGTGTAGATTTGGGACCTGGCCCTCCAGTATTTTCCACGTATATATTAATATATTATTTGATCTCTCTCTCTTCTCCTTTCTAGTGAGTACATTTGGAGAGCTTTGAGACGATCCCAATAATTTAGGTGCTTTATCGCGTCTATGCGTCCCGTATATGTTCTCTGTATTCCCTCTATTTCAACAATCTCTCCTGCTCTGAAAGGGGAAGCGAGTAGTACTCAAGACGGGACAACACAAGTGATTTGAAGAGTACAACCATTGTGATGGGATCCCTGGATTTGAAAGTTCTCGTAATCCATCCTATCATTTTCCTGGCTGCCGCAATATTTGCTTGGTTATGCTCCCTAAAATTTAGGTCGTCAGACATCATTATTCCCAAATCCTTTACATGTTGCTTTCCTACTATGGGCAAATTTGATTGTGTTTTGTACCCTGTATTATGTTTAAGGTCCTCATTTTTACCGTACCTGAGTACCTGGAATTCATCGCTGTTGAACATCATGTTATTGTCTGCTGTCCAGTCGAAAACTTTATTATACCACATCATTCTGTTTTTCTTCTAATACCTCAGTGATTTTGTCGTAGTGGTCAAGTAGCTGTAAGAAGCATGATCTTCTCGCTGGAAATCCATGTTGACCTGGTTTGTGGCGATAATTGGGCTCCATGAAACTAATGACCTGACTCCTGATCACTCTCTCAAATACTTTCATTATGTGGGACGTTAGTGCAACTGGTCTATAATTCTTTGCCTATGCCTGTGCCAGATAAGTCCACTACGGGCTCACCATAGCACGTGCTACTTTGGAACGTTTGTTTTAAGTAGCTGAATCTAAAACAACAACAACAGCTGCGTAGTGTATCTGTTACACTGTTGCATAGCTCTTGAAACACTTTTCTATTTTTTTTTAAGTACAACTGCAGGAAGGAAAATATCGGTTGAAGGTAGATCGTAAAATATAGTAAAAAAAACATTTAAAAAATATAGTAAAAATATATATAAAAATACATACAAATATATAACAAATATATACAAAAATATATATAATAAAAATATATTTTTATTATATATACGGTGCCCGGGTTGGTCCACAGGTGGGGTCTCAGGGAGGGGTCCACAGGTGGGGTCTCAGGGAGGGGTCCACAGGTGGGGTCTCAGGGAGGGGTCCACAGGTAGGGTCTCAGGGAGGGGTCCACAGGTGGGGTCTCAGGGAGGGGAGGTGGGGTCTCAGGGAGGGGTCCACAGGTGGGGTCAGGGAGGGGTCCACAGGTGGGGTCTCAGGGAGGGGTCCACGGATGGGGTCCACGGGTGGGATCCCCGAGTGGGGTCCACGGGTGTGGTCACACTGTAACTAACCTCACACCCGTTGCAACATTGGCGTCACTCCACACTTCCCTATACTGTCATGACAGCCCTCGTTCGCATCCCCGCCACACTCCCAGGGCTCGGCTCCTCATCCCAGGCTATGTTTACTAAGCCAGTGCATCCCAGGGGTCACTATACGCTGGTCTGTAGAAGTCGAGGCCTGCTTCATACCTCACCGTTCTCGCCAGCCCCTACACACCTTCGCCAATCCCCCCCAACCCACACACACACCCCCACCACCAACCCACACCCCCCCCCCCCACCAACCCCAGGGACCTGAAGACGACAACAAGAGGTGGTGAAGCATCCATCAGTAACGCCAAGAGGTCATCTTAAGATGCGTTACCTGCTCCTGTGGTGAATACCAAGGAGATCCTAGGCACGCGAGGGAGGGGGGACCCGGCCAGCCACCCCCAACAACGGCAGAGGTCAACACCAAGAGTCGCCTGCAGCATGCAAGCTCAGAAATCATGTTGCAACTTGATACACGCAACACACACATGCGTCCAATCTCTGTACAATTATATACACAGAACAGGACAAAAGCATTTCTTGTGTACACATTTCTATAACTAATGCGGTGTTTATGGTCAGAAATGGCGTCAATATTGGACACCAACCAACAATATGGGGGGCCCCTGGACCCCTATCAATAATATGAGGGGCCCTGGACCCCCATCAATATGGGGCCCCTGGACCCCCTATCAATAATATGGGGGCCCTGGACCTCCACCAACAATATAGGGGCCCTGGACCCCCATGAACACCTGCAACAATCGCCTAAATTATGGCTTCTGTCCCAGTATTTGTTTACGCTGCCTATCCCACAATATAACACTGCCTGTCCCACCGACCCATCGTCCAGCACAAGCAACAAGTAAAATATTGACAGTCTTTGCTAAGTGCAGTTTCTTACTTATTCAACAGACAACCAACTGACAGGATGAATCTTCCATTCAGTATCATCACCTTTTTTCTGAAGTGTAAATTAATATTATTATATATTGTGGGTTTATGTTTAGTTGTTGTGAACGTCGCAGCCCTTTGGGTGATGGGCTCAGTCTCCCTGCTTGGGTGATGGGCTCAGTCTCACTACTTCTTCCCCTCCCCACCCTCATTCCTGTCCCACTACCTGTGGCTCAACTGTTTCACTTCCTGTGTATACAGAAGTCACTCTGGTCTTGCACCCCACATCAGCGGGTCTGATAGCCTGCGTTTATCACTCAAATTAAACCTGTTTCCATGCAATCTTTTAAGTAAGTTACACTCTAAAGCCCATCGTTTAGCGAGAGTATATATATGACGTCCTAAATTACAGTCAAGTTAAGGCTGTAGTTACTGTAGCCTGGTGGATAGCGCGCAGGACTCGTAATTCTGTGGCGCGGGTTCGATTCCCGCACGAGGCAGAAACAAATGGGCAAAGTTTCTTTCACCCTGAATGCCCCTGTTACCTAGCAGTAAATAGGTACCTGGGAGTTAGTCAGCTGTCACGGGCTGCTTCCTGGTGGTGGAGGCCTGGTCGAGGACCGGGCCGCGGGGACACTAAAGCCCCGAAATCATCTCAAGATAACTGTAACAAGCGTAGCCCTTGTATCTGCTGTTAATGGATATAAGAGTTTAATTCGGACTGTAATTAGAGGCGTAACGAGTGGAATAACCACATCAGCACGACACTTTATCATCAGACACTGATGATAAAGTGTGGGGGGTTGGTTAGGCCAGACATATCCACGCTCCGAGCGTTAATTACCTCGCTCCGCGGGCTAATCATCCCACCCTTACCGCGGTGATTGGCGGTCAAGGGTCGTATTAAGCAACTCGTCACTGGCGGAGGATTATCCCTTGTAAGAGGTGATTACTATATTTTATTGTGACCTGGTGACACTGGCTGTCTCCTGGTGATTACCTTAACTACCTTACGACTCCAGGGTACGACCAGGGTCTTCTGCCCCCCCCCGTCCCCTCCGGTGATCAGGGTCAATCACCACGTGGTGACCCTTAAGGTGTAATGACCTTAACGAGTGCCTTAATGACTACATTGGCCCTAACTGGGCCAATGTAACGTGGCCAAGTTAGGCCTGTTAACACGGTTCTTTTTTTTTTTTTAGTTATGGTGATCAACGTTACAAATGCGACCTATTATTATAAGTAACGGCTCGCAGATATCTACGTTTTCCATGCATCGGACTCAATATGTTAGGTGGGTTGGTTAGGCTTGCACACTTCTGGTTGAGTTAGTAGGTCGGAGTTTTTGCGGAGTGGCAAATCAATGGGTGGATCACTGTCCCGCGGTGTTGCCACCGCCGCTACAATTGTACCAAAACGGTACAATTTGAAAAATAGCGGTAGTGTGGTCCTACATTATGGAGAAAATTCCTATGTCGCTTCGTTTTGCTCAGAAGCGGTACATTTAGTTTAGTTTTAGCGAGAGAGAGAGAGAGAGAGACACACACACACACACACACACACACACACACACACACACACACACACACACACACACAGAGAAAGTCAGAGATTCTGCTCAGAAAACTTAAGTACCATTGACGAATCTAATCTCAAAGATTTTTTTTTTTTTACCAATTCCTATGATATACTCTTTGAAGTACCTAGTTCATTTTAGCTTCAAAGTGAAGGTATTCAGATACACCATACATACGAAACAATTATTTTAACGATCAATCATTTCAAAACGCTTAATTACCATCTAAGGCATTTACAGTGAACACGTGATTGGTTTTTCTCTTTGATTAATACAATCTTACTGTAATATGCCTATTATCCATTTTCCCCATTATTCTATCTCTGGGAACTAAATAAGGGGTTAAGTGATAGGGAAGACAGACGGTTAATAGTCACGATACACTGTAATAGAGAGAGAGTGTGTGTGTGTGTGTGTGTGTGTGTGTGTGTGTGTGTGTGTGTGTGTGTGTGTGTGTGTGTGTGTGTGTGTGTGTTTTCACCTGAAAGTAAATATTTTAGTCATAGGTGTCAGTAGAAAATGTAAATCTCGCTGTAACGAAATTATTTCAGTTAACAAAAAAGTTCACGGTACATATTACAGTAAATCACGGTACATGAATAAATACTTTACGGTACTTTTTTGTTTGATTTTATGCCTTTCCTTTTTGGGTGATAAGGTCTCTTCCCCCCCTCCCCCCTCATCTTAAAAACATGAAAAAATTGTTTTTTTTTCAGTAGTTTGGACGGGAAGTAGCGAATTCTATCCTTCAATATTACTATTATTGTCCTGTGGAGGTGTATAGTGTACTGGGGGGGGGGGGGGGGGGGGTGTACAGTGTCCTGGGGGAGGTGCATAGTGTCCTGGGGGAGGTGTATAATGTCCTGGGGGAGGTGAATAGTGTCCTCGGGAGGTGTAGTGTCCTGTGGAGGTGTATAGTGTCATAAGGAGATGTATAGTGTCCTGGAGGAGGTGTATAGTGTTCTGGGGAAGGTGAATAGTGTCCTGGGGGAGGTGTATAGTGTCCTATGGAGGTGCAGTGTCATAGGGAGGTGTATAGTGTCATTAGGGGTGTATAGTGTCCTGGGGTGGAGTATAGTGTTCTGGACGAGGTGCATAGTGTCCTGGAGAGGTGTATAGTGTTCTAAGGGTGGTGTATAGTGTCCTGGGGAGGTGTATAGTGTCCTGGGGAGGTGTATAGTGTTCTAGGGAAGGTGCATTTGTTAATTTAGGGGTGACGACGATTGTGGGGCTAGGAAGGGGTAGAGCTTGAGGGCAAGGTGCCTTTAGGGGTGGATCCTAGACTTCACCTTCAAGGATGTAAGAGCCAAAGATTTTAGAGTGTCAACTGGGAGTGCAAAGAGGGGGTGAGTGATCTAACACAAAGCGACATCGGCTGAGGAAAGCAGTGGAAAGGTAATGTCTGCGAGATTCACAGCACAACGGGTAGTCCATCAGTAATTATAAGGTGTTTTCCAGATTCCTTTATAAATTGTTAGCAAAGATTAATAGGTCAATAACAAATACATATTGTAGATTATGATTTCAAATTTATCACACTAATTTGTGAAAGGCAGAATAAGAGAATATTACAAATGACCAAAATAACATAAATTTCAAGATATTTATGATTATAAAACACTGTACATAGGTTTGGACATAATGTATATACATGTTTTTATGTATTATCTGTTTTACAGTTTTTCCCAGTAAACATCTGCACCTTATGACAGCCTCTGACAATGTTGAAATTATGGCTTGCATTGTTACTGTATTCAAAGTATATTAGCCTTGATTAGGACTGACGAAGAGCACTTAAGACTTTAATTAGTTTCTAAACCAAATTTCAGCATATCATTTTATAAGAATCAAAACTGCAAGTGTCTCTAAATTGTTAAGGAATATTCTTATCTAAGGAAATCTTAACACACAGTGCCAATCAAAAATACTGGCATCTTTTCTTGTGTTACTATTAAAAATAATCAGTCTGACATTGCTAATATAGTATTAAAATGGCGAAAATTACTATAGGCTGTATGTAGAACACGGGACGAGTTCCTGAATCCATTATTTATGAATCTCGAAAGCTTTTATCCCCTGTTTTGATTTATAATATACTGATTAAAGTAAATCAGTATATTGCTTATTACTTATTATATTAAATTATAATATTACTGATTAAAAGTAACTAACGGAATGTAAAACATTGGAGCGCAAACTAGCACAGCACGAGAAATTGAAATTGAAATAAGGTTATTCAGGTAAAATCCACACAAAGGGATGAGGTAGCTCAAGCTATTCTCACCCCGTTCAGTACATCGTGTTAATACATACATAGATACACACATCACAAACAATAAACGTATTACCGAACATTCTGAGAGATAAACATGTACATTAACTAGCACAGCACGAGGATATGGTCGTTAAGCACTGTGACGTCACCAATGACGCTGTGTTAGGCAAGAAGGTCAGGAGCGGCCGGCGCCGCGTTAGTGTCGGGCTGACAGCCAGCAGACGTGGTTCCTTAGGCGGTGTCCCGCTTCTTACATCATTTGCAGCTACACCGGTCATCAGGTAAGGTTACAGTGGACTTTATTGCTCAATGTATTAACTCTCATAAGGTGTCGATATTTAATTATGGTGTGACCTGGTTGTTAGTTAGCGTAATGTGGGCTCTGTGATGCCTTTATAGGGACGGTGATATTTGGGTGGCGAATGATAGAAGTGGTAAAGTTATATACATGGAAACATAGTTGACGTATCCAAATAATAGTATTAATAATTAGCTTCGTTCAAGATTTAGCCGTACAGCATTAAGTGGCTGGTCAACAATTTTTTTTTTTTTAAATCTGCATTAGAACGGGCAAAAAGTCTATCTGGGCAGTACGTAAGGTGTTTAAAAGTACGTGGCCCGTTTAAAATGCAATAATTATTAGAGTAATGAGTAAAGGATACAATTTACTGCAGAATTTTGGGGATTTGTAGCCGTTTTAGCCAGCTGTCATATTACTTAAATTGTTAAATGGCTTGTAGGTACTGTTAGGCACTAAATGTACAGCTTATTCCTGTGGCGTAACGTTGGTAGCAGTTTATGGGTATCTACTGTGGCTTAATGGTCAGAGGGTGTTTTCACAAAGATAAATATAACATATATAAACATATACATTAACTAGCACAGCACGAGGATATGGTCGTTAAGCACTGTGACGTCACCAATGACGTTGGGCAAGAAGGTCAGGAGCGGCCGGCGCCGCGTCAGTGTCGGGCTGACAGCCAGCAGACGTGGTTCCTTAGGCGGTGTCCCGCTTCTTACATCATTTGCAGCTACACCGGTCATCAGGTAAGGTTACAGTGGACTTTATTGCTTAATGTATTAACTCATATAAGGTGCAGGTGTCAATATTTAATTATGGTGTGACCTGGTTGTTGGCGTAGCGTAATGTGGGCTCTGTGATGCCTTTATAAGGACGGTGATATTTGGGTGGCGAATGATAGAAGTGGTAAAGTTATTTACATGGAAACATAGTTGACGTATCCAAATAATAGTATTAATAATTAGCTTCGTTTAAGATTTAGCCGTACAGCATTAAGTAGCTGGTCCACAATTTTTTCTTAAAACTGCATTAGACCGGGCAAAAAGTCTAAATATCTGGGCAGTACGTAAGGTATTTATGTTGCCCTGTTTAAAATGCAATAATTATTAGAGTAATGAGTAAAGGATGAGGGTGTAAAGGATAAAAATTACTACAGAATTTTGTGATTTGTAGCTCAAAACTTTAGAGCCAGCTGTCGTAATATTTAAATTGTTAAATGGCTTGTAGGTACTGTAAGGCACTAAATGTACTGCTTATTCCTGTGGCGTAGCGTTGGTAGTAGTGGCAGTTTATGGGTATCTACTGTGGCTTAATGGTCAGAGGGTGTTTTCACAGCCCTTCCCCCCCCCCCCCCCCCCAGGCTCGCAGAACTAGGCTGCTTCGATGAATCTTGATGCTGTTAAAACTTAATGGTATTAAACACACTTTTTTTTTTATTTAACAGGTGGGTGTGGATTTCTGTAATGTAATTCACGGAACCAATTTCATCTGAATTACCTTGGTTAAGACCTGGTATTTGGTAAGTTATGCAGGTTTGAATTTCTTCAGTCTTGATATCTGTAGTGTCCACTGCAGCGGGTAAACAAATTTTCAGGTACAGTAGTTCTAATAGTTTGTGGTTAGGTAGAAATTGAAAATTATTCTTTGGTATTGTATTAAATCTCGGCCCTTCCACCCCCCCCCCCCCACTACTACTTGGGCAATTTTCCTAGTTCATGTGGTTTCTTCAGTAGTGCGAAAATTTTATTATAAAGCTTTCAGTAAAGTTAATGTATTCAGTGGGGCCGTAATTAGTAAACGTAGAAATCTGCGTGTCTGGGATCACATTGTTTTCCCAGACAGTCAATTTTGTAAGTAATCAAGTGTTGGCATGTCGCTAATTTCCGGGCTACTAGTGGACATGCCACGTCTTATGGGGTCGTAATGTCAATCAGTCATTGTATCGGTAGTCACTAGAATGCGTGGTAATATTGTTTGGAATGGCAACTTAAAAGCTATTAGGATGAATGTATCAAACAAATTAAGAATTTAAATTTATTGCAAAAGGTTTAGTACTAAAGTTTGTACCCTGGTGTTGCCCTATATATCAAAAGATTACAAAAGACACGAGGTATATAATGTTATACAGAAATTATAATGTTGAACAAAAATAACCTTAAGACTTTTTCATAAATTTATTTGATACTTTATAAATCATTGAAATGGTATAAATAACTTAATGTTTGTTTTTCTAGGGTCTGGCTCGACAATGGCCACGAGTCTTCTTGAGAAGTAACTTAAAGTGAACGGAGGACTAGTCACGAGGAACGAATCTAGTTCTGGCGTGACGTAGCTGCAAGTCTCGATAGAGGTGGTTGGACGGTGTTGAACACGGCGGCTGGCAACGTTGCAGGAATATCTGAAAGAAAAGGCAAGTTAAAACGTTCAGTTAATATTTATAATTAGCAGGAAACTGAAGATATTCTGTAGAATTATTGAAAGAGCGTCTGTGGGACATTAGAAAGCTAGTATTAACTAGTTTACTTGTCCTAGTTATGAGACTTGGGTTTAGGAAGCAGTAAAAATGCCAGTTAAAATATAGAAATTAATGGAATGGGCTACCATAATTAGTAGGGACATATCGATAGATGAGCTTTGAAGCAGCATGATTCATAGTGTAAAGGATGAATGGTACAAGTGTTCATGACGTTGTAATTGGGAGGACCTAATAGTGATCGGTGAAAATAGTCTAGGGCATTATGAATAATTAACAGGGGGGGGGGGGATAACGAACTGTGGAAGGTGTTGCTTCTGCACCACTAGAATTTGCCACTAGAAATATTGAACGTTGAGAGTTTGCAAGAATACTGCAGTTTCATACTGGTTAGTGTAAATGTTAGGAAGAATGAAGGAATGTACATTCTTCAGTTAACTTTAACGTAAGTGTTTACCAGTTTTAATGTCAAATGGTATAAATTGATATTCGATGAAGTATGGTTGACGGGCCATTTTGTTAGTGAAAACGTGTAAAAGTAATGTAAAGGGAGGAAACGTGACTACTAACGATAACTTCTACAACATCGCAGATTTGTGGTAGAATGGTGGTTAGAGAATAGTTTGTAGTAGGAAACAGTTTGGTGTGTAGTTACTCTAGCTTGAGTGTTGGAAGGGCAAGAAGTAAAGTGAATATTGGAATTAATGCAAACATTTTAACTTTACAGACGCAGCACAGAAAATGGATGAAGACGGGTGGGTATAGCAGTAAGAAGGCCGGTGAAGCATAGACTGCAAAATTGGGAAGCAAGATGCAAAATAAAAGATTTTAAATCTGTGTATTGTGTACTTTGAAACTGTTCTTAGAACTATAGAATCTGTTCCCTCTGTTATTTTTAATATCTGGTGTATGGTGTTATGGCTTGTTCGGCTGGTTTTCTACATTAACAATGTGGGTCCGATAAATGTTGTTCGTATTGGAATAAATATCTCTTTAATTATACACGTTAATGTTTACAGCTGTTTGTGAATTCTTTAACGGCTGGCTATGCACAGTTTATATGTCTACAATGCCATGTTTATTGTTGTAACATTGTCTAGGCCCAGTGTATGTGACAGTGGCTAGAATTTAAAAGGTTTGTTAATAAAGTGTTCATATTGGATAAGTGTATGAAAATGTCCCAAATGGCTTTAGTCTTCTTGATGTAAAAGTTTGACACGGTAACACTTCGTGGTTAATGTTGTTAAAAGGGTTGTTCCTGAGGGTTTTAAGTGGTGTTGACTGATAACCTTGTTCTTTAAGAGCATTTTGGCTCGGTTTGGTGCCTTTTGATAATTACCTTAAGAGAATTTTGATGAAATAGGCTGTACACTGAATGAAGGCAATTGGTTTATAGGGAATATTTTTGTAAATTGTATTCCTCACCTAGGTGGTGGTAAATACTTATCAATAGATGCAACCTTGTGGAATTTGATAAATATGAATAACATGAACCTTAGTGTTTTGTTTTACTTTACAATAACATAAATAAGTACTGTCAAAGAAACGTGACGCGTTTTTCTATCTTGGTTACATTTTTCTTAGGTCAGTTGTATAAAAGTTTTCTAACCATATTTATTGCTGTTTACTTGTTTAAAAATTAATCGTATTCGTCTGTTTCTTGTCAAGTGTTGGTGCTTTTAATGTCTGTCTCCCTTGGTGTGTGGTATAGGTGTGATAATGGTAGCATCAGTGAAACGTTATCTAACTACGTATGTGCATCTTGGAAAGAGTGAAACAAAATTGGGGGAGGAGGGGGGAGTGAACAGCGCAGATGTGTAAAGAACGTTGAAGGGGTTGAATACATGGCACATTGTCGTGAAGTCAGGCAGATAGTGTCCTTAACGTAAATTAAGGTTTTAACAGTAGCAGTAAGTGAAGAGTAATATGAAGAACTTTCACTCCATGCGACGAAGACAACTCAAAATTTACAAGAATTCTGCGTCGCAGAATTCAAGAGTTACAAGAGTGGGGGAGAGTAGGGGAATATGGGGGATACTGCAGGAGTGGGGGAGTATGGGGATAGAGGGGGAATATGGAGGATACTGCACGAGTGGGGGGGATAATGCAGGAGTAGGGGGGAGAGGAGTATGCGGGAGAGTGGGGAGTATGGGGGAAGAGTCGTGTAGTTTTATTTTTCAAATTTCTTGGGATTTGAGGCGAATTTCGTGCTATCTTCATCGTATGTAGTGAAATGTCGTCGTTTGTCGTGTTGTGTCGTCGTCTGTCGTGTTGTCGTTTTATTTTTCCAAAATTCCTTGTGATTTGAGGCGAATTTCTTGTGAATTTTATGCTATCTTCGTCGCATGTAGTGAAATGTCGTCGTTGTCGTCGTTTGTCGTGTTGTCGTCTGTCGTGTTGTGTCGTTTTATTTTTCCAACATTTCTTGTGATTTGAGGCGAATATCCTGCGAATTATTCGTCTCAAATCACAAATTTTGGAAAATAAAACGACAACACGACAAACGACGACACAACACAGACGACATTTCACTACATACGACGAAGATATCACAAATCATGTGAATTTTGTGCTATCTTCGTATGTAGTGTAATGTCGTCGTTTGTCGTGTTGTGTCGTTTTATTTTTCCAAAATTTCTTGTGATTTGAGGCGAATTTCTTGTGAATTTTTTGCTATCTTCGTCGTATGTAGTGAAATGTCGTAGTTTGTCGTGTTGTCGTCGTTTTATTTTTCCAAAATTTGTGATTTGAGGCGAATATCTTGTGAATTATTCGCCTCAAATCACAAGAAATTTTGGAAAATAAAACGACACAACACGACGGACGACGACACAACACGACGACGACATTTCACTACATACGACGAAGATAGCACAAAATTCACAAGAAAATTTGTAAAAATAAAACGACACAACACGGCAGACGACGACACAACACGACAAACGACGACATTTCACTACATACGAAGATATCACAAAATTCGCCTCAAATCACAAGAAATTTTGGAAAAATAAAACGACACAACACGACAGACGACGACACAACACGACAAACGACGACACAACACGACAAACGACGACATTTCACTACATACGACGAAGATATCACAAAATTCGCCTCAAATCACAAGAAAATTTGGAAAAATAAAACGACACGACAGACGACGACACGACACGACAGACGACGACACAACACGACAGACGACGACATTTCACTACATACGACGAAGATATCACAAAATTCGCCTCAAATCACAAGAAATTTTGGAAAAATAAAACGACACAACACGACAGACGACGACACAACACGACAAACGACGACATTTCACTACATACGACGAAAATATCACAAAATTCGCCTCAAATCACAAGAAATTTTGGAAAAATAAAACGACACAACACGACAGACGACGACACAACACGACAAACGACGACACAACACGACAAACGACGACATTTCACTACATACGACGAAGATTTCACAAAATTCGCCTCAAATCACAAGAAATTTTGGAAAAATAAAACGACACAACACGACAGACGACGACACAACACGACAAACGACGACACAACACGACAAACGACGACATTTCACTACATACGACGAAAATATCACAAAATTCGCCTCAAATCAAGAAATTTTGGAAAAATAAAACGACGACAGACACGACACACGACAAACGACGACACAACACGACAAACGACGACATTTCACTACATACGACGAAGATTTCACAAAATTCGCCTCAAATCACAAGAAATTTTGGAAAAATAAAGACACAACACGACAGACGACGACACAACACGACGACGACGACGACGACGACGACATTTCACTACATACGACGAAAATATCACAAAATTCGCCTCAAATCACAAGAAATTTTGGAAAAATAAAACGACACAACACGACAGACGACGACACAACACGACAAACGACGACACAACACGACAAACGACGACATTTCACTACATACGACGAAGATTTCACAAAATTCGCCTCAAATCACAAGAAATTTTGGAAAAATAAAACGACACAACACGACAGACGACGACACAACACGACAAACGACGACACAACACGACAAACGACGACATTTCACTACATACGACGAAAATATCACAAAATTCGCCTCAAATCACAAGAAATTTTGGAAAAATAAAACGACACAACACGACAGACGACGACACAACACGACAAACGACGACACAACACGACAAACGACGACATTTCACTACATACGACGAAGATTTCACAAAATTCGCCTCAAATCACAAGAAATTTTGGAAAAATAAAACGACACAACACGACAGACGACGACACAACACGACAAACGACGACACAACACGACAAACGACGACATTTCACTACATACGACGAAAATATCACAAAATTCGCCTCAAATCACAAGAAATTTTGGAAAAATAAAACGACACAACACGACAGACGACGACACAACACGACAAACGACGACACAACACGACAAACGACGACATTTCACTACATACGACGAAGATTTCACAAAATTCGCCTCAAATCACAAGAAATTTTGGAAAAATAAAACGACAAACGACGACACAACACGACAAACGACGACATTTCACTACATACGACGAAAATATCACAATTCGCCTCAAATCAAGAAATTTTGGAAAAATAAAACGACACAACACGACAGACGACGACACAACACGACAAACGACGACATTTCACTACATACAACGAAGATTTCACAAAATTCGCCTCAAATCACAAGAAATTTTGGAAAAATAAAACGACACGACACGACAGACGACGACACAACACGACAAACTACGACATTTCACTACATACGACGAAGATAGCACAAAATTCACAAGAAATTCGCCTCAAATCACAAGAAATTTTGGAAAAATAAAACGACAACACGACAGACGACGACACAACACGACAGAC